AAAAAGGAAAGAAACTGATAGAAGGGGCCGGCGACAATTCACGTGTAAATGTTTACTCAAGGACTCTTATTGCATTTTAAAAATTACAGTGTGTATCTCTGGAGAATAATATGTATATCTACCTTTAGCGGCTTTTTATTGTGGACTAATGCAAGAAAATTATTACCGGAGTATTGCACCATTTTTCCATTCGGAATATAAAGTTTAAAAAAAAAATACTCTTGTTGAACTGTGGCCATAGATAATTGTAAAGAGTTGATAGTTCCCTTGCAAGCAGGAACAGAAACAAGCACTTGGACATAAGTTTTGACTGCTTTTGGAGGAGCCAGGAGTTTTGGCTCCCACCTGTTTACAGACCTTTTTTTTCTCTCCTTCAAACTTTAAAATAAAAAAAAGGAATTACAAAAAAAAAAAAAAAAAAAAAAAAAAAAAAAAAAAAAAAAAAAAAAAAAAAAAAAAAAAAAAAAAAAAAAAAAAAAAAAAAAAAAAAAAAAAAAAAAAAAAAAAAAAAAAAAAAAGAAAAAAAAAGACTTCCATCGTAAAGAAAAACTATTTTCAGAATGAAGATATGCTACTTCAGAGCTCTGGGATTGAACAGTGTTGTTGTATTATCCTTTTCTTTGGCCATTGCTGTGTACTATTTTTGTTGTTGTTTTCCTCCTCTTCGTCAAAGTGGCGAAAACTTTGTGATCACTATCTTGCACATGGTGGAAGATGTCTCAGGAAAGCCGGGTTTCCCGAGGAGCAACTCCACACCATTTCATGTATTTTTAAAACCCAACTCCTAGCACTGAAGATATTATTAAAAAACAAAATAAAATAAAAAAAAAGACAGTAAGAAAGAAGAAAAATACCTAATCTAATGTGTAGCAGTTACATATTTACCAAATAATGGACTCAAAAGAAATAGATGTTTGAAGAGTGCTTTATATATTAAAAAATCGCTTTATGTTTAAAAAAAAAAAAAAAGATCAATGTTTTTGATTGTTTTGAAAGGAAGAAAGACAATGGAATAACATACACTTCAAGTATGTTTTAAAAATTATATGAACATTGTGCTCCCTGCCTGCTTGGATCAGGAAACTTGTGCATTACATTTTTTTTTTTTTTGAAGATTAGCTTTTTAATGGTTTTATCAGATTTAAAGGGTCCTGCAAGATTGCAAATTAACAAAAGCTGGTTTTATAGAGGATCATGAACTATGCACAAACTGGGTTCAAGACTTGTTTTTTTTTTTCCTCAAGTTTTAGTAGTGTATTTAGCTGAATAACCTTTCCTCAGAGTAATTGCATCTCATTGCCATTACACGCCTGTTACATATATATTTTATATATATATATACACACACACACTTATATAAAATATGTATGTGTGTATGTGCGTGTTTACATACAATTTTCCATGCTGAAGTTTAGCATTGAGTTGTAGAAAAACTCCTGATATTTTCAAATTGGGAATGAAAATTTCTGTTGGGAGGGTGGGGTGGGTTTTGTTTTGGGGCTTTTTTGTTTTTGTTTTTTTTGGCCTTTTCCTTTTGAATTAAAGATGTCTGTAACTCTGAGATTAAAAAGAAAACCAACAATTGTGGCTTTTAATGTTTATTCTCCTCATAGAATGTGATTGTTAAAGAACATGCACCGAAAGTTGCTTTCAAGAGTACGAAGATTCTTTGAAACTTAATAAATTGCAGTTTTTTCTTGGCTGTTGAAATAATGTGTATTTTTCTTTTATGCAGGGGATACTAAAAATATATATATATATATATATAGTTGAATCTGTTAAGGTATTTCATGAAGAAGTTTAACTCTTTCACTTCGAATGAGGATGACGTGTAGGCCAGGAAAGCCCCTCCTGTGGTCGCTCCCTCTGCTTGTTGGTGACACCCTCATGAGCTTGTTCCATGAACGCTTTGCACATCACATCCAAAAGCACTGCGGAAGCAGCACTAACCATTCTTACGTTAGAATTCTGTTTTTATCATTTTTTCCATGTCTTCAGTAAGGTCGCTGAATCGTTAGCCCTGTGAACGCTGCGAGGCTGGAGATGACTCTCCTGCTCCATTGTTCCAGAGCCTCCCAGTTTCTGGATGTCTCTAAATGGCCAGTAAAATCTTTGAGGTGAGCAAATAGCCCATGAATAGGATAGGAACACCAGAATATTTTCGTGTTTGGCCTTTCAGGGCTTGACTTGAGGAAGGTGTTTGCATTGGTAACCACTCCAAGGTCCCTTTACCCCGACCATGCCAACCTGAGGCACAGGAGATGAAGGGCCAGGGATTCCTGGGGAGATCCCAGCCTTGCTCCATCTCCCTCATCTGAACTGGAGTATATGCTCTCCTCCCACCTCCACCAAACCAGTTCCTGACCCTTGGTGGCCGAGGGGCAACTGGTGCTCAGTGTGATGATGTACAGCAGGGCTGTCCATGGGTCTCGATGGGAGTGAGTTTGTACTGCTGAAACTCATTCCCCCAGTCCATCTGAGAAGGGAAAAGCTAACGTGGACAGCTGGATTAAGAAAAAAAAAAATGGTTCCCAGTCCTGAACAACCGCCTGTGCTGTCACTGGGATTGTCCATAAACCGTAATTCCATAAGGAAGACCCGTGGGTCAAGGGGCTCCCAAGCAACTTGAGAGCTGCAGTTTGCTGGCAGGTATGACACAGTTTAAAATACCCAAATTCAGCTTTGGTGGTAACTTCTGTTACTGAATCAGATAAAGAACCCTGTCTGAAGCCTGTTCTGTCAATTTTATTGATCTGGCCCCAAAGTTGCACAGCTCTTCTTTACTGCTTCCCACCTCATTTTTTATCTCTTCCAGTGGTTTCTAATGAAACTCTTGGAAGAGAGTTTCTTTCTCTTTTCCTTCCTTGGTTCTTTTTTTAGTTTTGCTTTTTGTGGGGCATTTTTTCCTTGGCAAGGAGGGCTTTTCAGTTCTGGTGACTTTAGGTTTTGTTGCCAAAACATCAAAGTCCCTTATGAAGTCAGAGATTTCAGTCTTCCATGGGGTTGGCAGTGACGGCTTTTTGTAAATCAAATGCACTCTTAATATTTAGCATCCCCTGGTATATTAAAGGGAATACAGCTTTTGACCAAATCTTTTACTGTTGGCATAGCTCTTTATTTTCACTGTCATTCTTCTGCTTCAGTGCTATTCAGTATTTCTCAAACTGTAATGAAAGCTCCTGATGATCAGGATTCGCCCTGTGGCTCCAGAATCTTTACAAGAAAACATTTTTAACAATTTATGTTTTTTCTGTATATTGCATTTGCTGTACCCTCCATGGCACCTTCACTGCATGGCTCCCTGTCTTTAGGCCAGGAGAATTTCTGTTTCCTGAGTGGTCTGAAACTGTCAAACTTCTTCTTAGTTCCTTGTCTAGTTTGTGGGTGGCACTGGCAGAGCAGATGTGGTTTTTTTGCTTTTTCTGCTCCAGAAATATATTATTGTTCTTGCTAATTCAATATATGGTTGTGTACGTGAAGGAGCTTTTTAATAAAAAAAAAAAAATGTATATGGATATCTGTATATGTTAAGAATTATTGGAGTTGGAAGAGCCTGGAAATGGAATTGGAAAACCCTTTAGGATTTGGGTTGTGGGCAGCTACAGTGTGGAGCAGATCCAAGGTTGCCGTGGTGACGGATCCTCTGATGCTGTCCATGAACTGCTGCTGAGTCCCCGCTGTCCGGTGCCAGCTGTGCCCCTGTGTCACTGTATTGATGCTGAATGTACAATCTCAAGTCCTGCATAGCCAGTTTTCAGGGAAGGGGAGCTCTGGAAAAAGGGGATGTGGAGCTCAAAGGAACTCTTGGTGTAAACTGCCCGGATGCCTGGCCGTCCGCCGCCTTCCGCAGCGCCCCGAGGGAAACGGCAGCTCCCAAAATGCCTGGAAGATGTCTGTGGCTCACTTAGCAGGATCAGAAGGAGATGCCCAGGACGTGTCAGCTCCCTGCAGGTCTCCTGGACTGTCTCACCCAGGTCCTTGCGCCGCTTCCGAGGCGGCGACGTGCCCGTGAAACCTTAACGGCCGCGGGAGCAGCCCAACTTCTGTCCTCTCACATTCCCCCTCCTTCCCGAGGGGTCTCTTCCAGAAATGTGCTCTTGGAATTCGGGAGAGGCGCCTCCAACACTCATCCACACTGTAGCTTTCCTGAGGGAGGACAGACTAACGTGCCCATGTTCTAGTGGGGTCTAGGTGTCTTCCTCCAGCGGATACACCAATCGCTCAGGTTAACTATTGCTGCAAGTTGCCAGACTCCATCCTCCAGCACCAGTCCAGCCTCTGCAGAGACAGTCCAGCTGACCATCAAATGACCATTTTAACCCCTCATGCTCCCAGCTGTTTCCTTCTCTCTAATGAAGGTGTTTCATTAGGCGTGAATATGACACTTTGTCCTCTGTGTGTGTGCCCCTGGTGTTTGCTTTTTACTGTCCGATGCATTGGAAACGAGTTGCTTGTAAATTTTCTCTTGATGAAAACGTGGTCCCAGTGCAAGTCATGATTTCAGGGTCATTAAAATAATGTTACAAAACACAACAAGCTGGAAGATTGCTTTGCTTTCAATAAATATGGTTATTGGTAAAGGTGGTTTGCCTTGACCTACCTGTGAGGTGCTCACTCCTGGGGAGAAGTGTGTGGGTGTCCCCATCAGTGCCTATTCCTGTCCTAAT